CTATCGAGAGATGATTCAGGAAATTACATTCTTATTTTGAAATATGCAAAAAAGGGTTCTTTACGTAATAATCTTCGCGAAATATCGCAGATGAAATGGGAAAAGAAATTAAATTTATTAAATTGTATAGCTTTTGATCTTGAAGCTATTCATTCACAAGGATATATTCATAAAGATTTGCATAGTGATAACATCTTACAAGACGATTTAGATAATATATATATCGTAGACTTAGGTCTTACATCGCCTGCTAAAAACGATACCGAAATTGTTGAAGTTTTACCTTATATTTCACCAGAGATTTTATCAGGTCAACCATCTACACAAGCAAGAGACATCTAATCATTTGGTATAATTATGTGGGAAATCTTAACGGGTGAAGAAGTTTTCAATGGTTACGAATTTAATGAAGGTTTGCAATAAAGATTTGTTTCGGATTGCGACCGGAATTCGCATCTGGAACTCCAGAATGTTACGTTGAATTGGCTAAACAATGTATGGACTCAGATTCAGAAGAAAGACCTACTGCTACATATATTAATGCGTTAATTACTACTTGGATCGACGAACTTACGCATGAAAACAACAAAATAATTAAAAATCAATCCTTAGAAGCGAGTGAAGAAATCGCGAATCGATTATGATAATTAGCAACTACCCGACAGATTTTCACTGATCGACAGCGATTGACCAATTAGATTACAAGATCAGGTGTAACGTGAAATCAAAAAAACCGCCGTAATTCGAAATTTCGTCTATGTAACCATCTTCTGCGCATTAGTAAAAAAAATTCCTTACAAAATTTTAGTATAAAACAAGTATAATTATAATTATAAACCTTACCCTAATGTAGCGTTTTATGACTTTAAAAAAAATGTCGATCAGTGAAAGTCTGTCGGTGCACTGGGGTAGTTACCCCTGCATTGTTGAATGTAAGAACGACACAAAACTTTTTAATAAATTTATATAAAAAAACAACTCAGCGGATTTTTGGAACTTGGCCTTTATCTAAAAACCCAATTATTTTTAAAATTGGTTCCTATTTGAAAATCCCGATTTATAGTTATCTAAAGTCCGATACGTAATAGTCAGAACTTGTTTTTAAACCCCAAAATCTATTAAAAGGGTTGTAGTTAAGTGAATTTCTAATCTCAAAACAACTTAAGTGGAAATATAATTTTAAAAATTGTAAATTTCGACAATATAATTTTATAGTTAACACGTTGCATCATAATTTTTACAGAAGGGTTGGATCCATCGGATTTAGGCCGGCATTTAGCAATACAAGTCAACCATCTGGGAAATGGACTAGAAAAACTTCTATCTGAAAGTGTCAGATGGTGATTTTTCTTGTTCATTACCCATTTCTGGGCCAAAATTTTCATCTGGGCGGCCTTACTTAATGAGTGGGCTGACCGCATTAGTAAAACTTAGTATTCCGCAAACGGGTACCCGAATTGGAACCGCAGGGGATTTTTAACATTCCGTCGTCAAGCAATTGGATAATAATCAAGTCACCTTCTATCGTTACCCAATTGCTTGATAGCGGAATATTAATCATCCCTGCGGTTCCAATTCGGGTACCTGTTTGCGGAACACTAGTAAAACTTTTTAGTGATCTTGGTAAAATTAGTTAATTCCGACCCTTCTGATTATGATTCGAGTTATTCTGACCCGTAAATCTGGGGACCTTCATGTATGAGTTTTGCATCATTAAAGATTTTAAATTTTTATATTTAAAATTATAGGATGACAAATTGCTTCCACACACTAAATTAGAGCATCTACATCTACAAGAATTATTTTTTTATTCATTTGATAATTACATTCACTCAGGTTATTGTAGAAAGGAACTACCTTTTTGCGGATTGTCGTACACTAATACTTGTCTTAATTTTTAAGCTTTATATTCTGTTGATCCCAGTGGTATAATTTTACTCACTTTATAGACATTATCATGTATTCTATTTTACGCATTATAGGTGATATGTTTCATTCGACAATTTCTTTGATTATTTTGCAAGATAAAAGTAGACCGATCAATGTCGTTATAACCTATTTTCAAATGCCAAAATATACATAGCTATTAAATAGTAATTTCCACACCCGAATTTTTAATCCAATATCGACCTTTTGGAGTTCCCATATTTGTATCATATGGGTGGATTCAATATGTTACAACTTCGATTTTGTCACATATAATCAAAATCCAATAAATGCGTCGATTTTGATTGGCCATCGGCGATGATCAAAATTTTAGTCAAACTATGGCCACCCATTAAGTGAAAACGTTCTCAGGCTAACCATCGGGCAGGCCTAAACCATAAAAAGTTTCTTTTTTGGAATTAAAAAAAATTAATTCCGGCAAAAATTATGTATAATGCGGCCAGAATTTTGTTGATCACAGCCGTTGACCAATCAAAATCGAGGATTGTTCGTGCATTTTTTGTGTAGCATCCAATATGCAGATTAATTGAAATTTTTTCAAATTTTAAACAAGAATATCTTAACAACTATATAAGCAAATTTTTTTTTTTATAAATATATAAATTTAAATAAAAATTTTTATTTTATTTTTTTTTATTTTTGCTTTTGTTAAGGTTATTGGTTATTGGTAATTATTGCCTTTATTGTGATTTAATTATAATTACATAACTTGCACAAGATGAGTATGCAACTAGTTATACATACAGCTTTTGGCTATCTATTTAAGTAGTTTACTTGCAGGTTCTACACTAGTTGTTTTATCTATAATATACTAAGAGATTACTTAATTAAATACTTTAATTTCTATACTATATCTGACAGATAATTACACAAGTTCTTGTATACTTAAGTGTAACTTTAACTTTTCTGTTTGTATATCTGTCAAGTCATTATATATTTCAAAATATATCACTTAACTGTATAGCTTTAAAGGGTTCTCTTGCTAACTAACTATTCATATTTAGTTCTTATTAACAAGACTTGCTCTTACAAAATTTATTCAAACTTTAATGTTACTTTATAGTATATTTTTAGTACTTATAATACATTTTTGTTTTTAACATCAGACTTTCAATTCAGATAGTTCAGAAAAACTGTGACCTGTTCTTGATATATTGAGATTATAATATTTGATATTTTTTTTTAATTAATTCTTAAAAATAAAAAAGCTTATTAATTAATTTTTCTATTTATACTATACTCTTTGCATATTTAAATAAAAATACTAATATTTTTTTATTTTTTGTTTATATTACATCTGTTAAATATAATATTTAACTTAGAAACAGATTTTATTAAATTATTATCAATAATAATATTTTAGTAAACATAATTGTTTATAAGATAATTAAAAAATTAGAATTAAAAATTAAATAACCCTTTTTTAGTTTTATTATATCTGTTACTAATAATTTTACTAAGCTGAAAAGTTATTTAAAACTTATCTATTATTATTAATCAGATTACTATTTTTATTACTGTTAAAGTAGTAAATATTATTTTATATTCTATTTTTCTTACTAATAACTAGTTTAAGAAAGTTAAAGTTAGTTATAATTAAAAAAATAAATGCTATATCTTTAAATAAAAAGATTAAAAGCATGCTATTTCTACTACTTATAAGAATAACTAACTATAACTAGCTTAACTTATTATTACTAACTCTAATAAGCTTAAGTTTTATAAACAAGAATATCTTATAACTAGACAATTCAAAACCTGTATATATAGAAACTATAAATTTTCTAATTATTTTTTTGTATAATGTTTAACTAATCTCTGCAATTATTATTAACAATCTAAACATATTGCTACTTATTGCTTTTAAAAATTATCAAAAAAAGTTAGCTACTATATATGCAACTAGTTTGACTATTTTTATAAAGTTTGTTTTTTTTTTTTTTTTTTTAATGTTAAGGCGAGTAATTGCGACCCAGGAGTTTATTGATAATCAGTCGGCATATAACTATTGTGTACAACAGCTACAGAGGCAATTATGGAAAGAGTGTACAACTAGCCACTCATACAACTTTAGTCATTGTCTATTTTAAGTAGTCCGCCCGAAGGTTCTACACTAGTTGCTATACCTAGAACCCGCCTGTGGGTTCTCTATTTAAACACTCTAGTTCCCGTATCCACCTCTACTCTATCAACTGCAGCCATTGCTGCAAATATACCATAGTCACTAAGTTATGTTTAACTTTATACTAAGCCTACTAGAGCCTTCTGTATCCCATACTTACAGCTGACCCAGTACCACTTTGGCCTAGACCATCACTTGCAGTCAGGACTAACCATTAAACTGCTATACCCTTGTAAAGTTTACAGGAACCCTGATATCTTCCTTTTCTAACTTTCATACCCCTACTTCTGGACCTACAAGACCCACAAGACTTCCCAAACTACCAATCCAGATGGCCCATCCAGTGAATCTAGTAGCCTGGTTAGTATGTGCTCCTCTATACATGTTGTCGTCTGATCCATCCGAGGTCCTAGTAATCCTTTTTTTGGGGGCTTCCGATGGTTCAGTAGTACCATCGAAAGTCCATGCTACCTCTTTACTCAGGATTTCCAAGTGGGTTTCCGACTCTTCGGTTTCTTTGCTTTCTATGCCTGGTGGTCTTATCATGGATTTGCACTGAAGTCTTATGCAACACTGGTTATTAACATTCCTCTATGTGGATGTAACATTACACTTTGCATAGATGCCCTGAGCTCCCATTCGAGATAGTGCAACAAAGGTTACAGATACACAAATCCAATCGATCAACAGAGACAGTTACCATAACACAGATCTTATTTTCCAAAATTCGTCGTTCATGGAATTTGAACTCTAGACCTGCCACTTGGAGGTTGACAACCTGACCACTTCACTAGGTCATCACACTCACCTCTACAACTTTAATTAGAAGTCTAAGAAACCTTTACTTATTAGATTTTAGGGTTAGAGTTAATAAAAGAAATTTTAAAAGGTTTATATATATTATAGTTATAAAAACTAAAAATAGAAAATCATGTATAACTCATGGTAAAAATAGCAAAAAGCATGATGAATATAGCAATTCCCTATCAAAAAACTATACTTATTTCTAAAATATTTAATAATTATTACATAGTAGTTTATAGTTAGAATTATTTATTAAAATAATAATAAGAAGAGTTATTCAAGAATATTGATGCTAGTGTAGTAGTTGGGTTGTTATTTTCAAGTAGCAGTTTTAAGATTCAAATTTCACTTATGATGAAATTTGAAAATTAATCTATATTACAGAAACTGTTTTCTGTTAATTAGTTGTTCTCATGTGGCTGTAATTCAGATATACCAAGTTAGATTCTACTTATTATTAGAAACTCAGAGCATTTATACAAAGTGTAACATTATATATATATAAAGAAATATTAATAACTAATATTGTATAAGACTTTGGTACAAACTATAATAAAACTATTGAGTACAGAAAACTAAAAAACTAAGAAAACAGAATCTTACTTTGAAATTCTCAAGTAAAAAGATAGCACAAACTTTTAATAGTACTGTCAGACTAATAAAAGTCTATAAAACATCTTTATAAGAATAGGCAGATAAACTGAATAACAAAAATGTATAAAGGAGCATATGATTAATTAGGCTGCTAGAATTGTCAAAGAAAAAGAATACTAAGGTATAGTATACTAGGCCATCTGAATTAAAAGTCTAAAAAGTCTGTTAGTTTTGAGTTATAGTTAGTAACAAATAATAAAAAAGATGTTAGAAAGATAAATATTAAGGTTTGAATAAACTTTACAAAAGTAGAAATAATATAATATAGCAATTTAAAATTAGTCCTGACTGCAAATATTAGATAACTATAGCATATTACATAAAATTAGATTAGCTATATGTAAGATACAAAAAGCTCTAATAATAATGCTTCTAAAGATATATTGTATAAAATAAGATATAGAGTTCTAAGAATACAGATAAGCATCTAGATCTTCTTAACTGATATGTATATTGGAGATAATCTAATAATACAATAAGGATTGCAGTATAAAGAGTTTAAATAGGCAATACTTCTAGTTGGGTTGCAAGTATGATAGCTAATATAAAACTATTAGTAAATTTCTTAAATTAGATACCAAAAATGTATATAGAGCTAGTTATATTCTTTAATATAAAGATGACTTTTTTGAGGTCTTAGCAGTAAGTTTCTATATCCTAATTATTAAATAAAAAGCTTTAGTTTCAAAAGAGACTAGTTTAATATAAAAAAAAAACAAAACAAGAAAGACTATTCTTAGACATCTGTCTTAAAAAATTCAAAGTATTATTTATAGAATTAAAAAAAATAAATTGTCTGTTTCTTGAGGACTTTAGAATTTTAAAACTCTAAACTATGTTGAGAGAATTTTAAAAGTTTATATATCTGTAAACTAAACAGCTAAGCAACTAAGTGACTAAGCAACTAAGCAACTAAGTAGCTAAACAACTAAGTGATTAGTATTACAAACTTAAAACATTAAAATATTTAAAACATTAAAGCAACTATAACTAATAAATAATACAATAATAAAAATCTATTTTATAACAGTATTATTAATTACTATTAAAATTCTAATTAAAAAAACCAAAAGCAAAAAATATTAAACTAATCTAATTGTCTGGAGCGTAGCGGAGGACTTACATTTTCAGGAATACATATATCACATGATAGTCACATATACTAGAAGTCATTAGCAAAATTTGGTGTCTGTCATGCAGATCATTGTCCGTCTGTCTGACCATGTGATTAATTAATATAAAATTAAAATGTTTGATTGGCTATTACAAATCAATTTTTGCTCCGAACTTACAACAGTTCCTGTTTTCCTAGTATATTAATAGACTAGTTATAGTCTTATACAGATGATCTGAATTAAAAGTTAGATGACAAAAGCAAAAGTATATTAAAGTACTAGAGATATGCTATTAAGTAGTACTTGGGTCTGAATGAACTTTGTAAAAACACAATTCTATTAAGATCTATAGAAAAGTAGATAAATTAACAAAAAAGCCTTCTGCACTTATTATTAAATAACAGACTTTGCTATACTTGGATATCAATACAAAAAAAGATAAAGTTAAACTTAAATAATTCTTAATAGAAGGCAGCAACAGGGTTATTTAGCTTTAGAATAAAATAGTTAGAAATATACAGATATTAATTAAATAAGTTAAAGAGTTTAAATAAAGTATTTACAAGCAAAAATT